TTATTTTTACGGAATCAATAAATAGAACAATTGGTGCAACCATTGAACCTTTGCCCAAAAGATAACACAATACCCACACTGTCCCCATGTCCCATAGAATGATTTGGTATCAGCATCATTCGTGTTTACGCTGGTATTCATGCGCTTTGCACAACTGTTGGTTTTGGAAATGCCTGCCCAACAGGTACGTGATTATTTCATTTTATCATCAGTGTTGCTTACAAAATGCAAAGGGAACGTTTGCCTTCATTTTACCTTCGTTTTGGAACCAAATCTGCTTCCTATAAGATCAAGCGTGGGGAAGTATTTGTTATTTAACAGGTCAAATGCGAGTGGATGGTTGCACAAGCCCACGGCCGTGTTTGGTACTTCGAGTTAGCAAGAAACCTCCATGGTTTCACAAAGATTTGGGTCACAATCAGCGATCCGTCGTTGCTTGACGGACATCAAATACGGCCTAATGGATAGTGCGAACCAGCGTTAAGATCCAGCGGCGTAAATCTGTGCAGGAAATCAAGGGACGGGGGATTGCGAAAGGTGTGGGGATGACTTGCTCGGCCATGAGAATTTGAAAGTGGGGGGGGGGGTGACAGGGCGTGACACCATATGACTTTATGTGATCGATGTTTATGACACTGATGTACATCTGTACTCTGCATTCAGAATGGCATATTTATGGCTTTTTAAATTGTTTTTCCAGTTTTGAGTGATACTGAATGTATTTTAGTCGTGGGAAGTCTGAAAAATTCTTTACAATCCCCTTTAATTTTTTGCTCACCACAAAAGGAATGGGGTACGACTCAATAGCCCCTCCGCCACCTCAAAAAATGAGGGGGATATTATACTCCCATCCCACCGGGATTTACGCCCTCGTTAGGATCACTGACTGACATCCAGCTCCGTGTAAAACGAACAGGCCCCATGAAAGACTTAAGTGGAAGTTCACACATGCATGGTTTCACTATACTGAGCACTATGGGACAAAATGTCTCTCACTTTTGAGGAACGAAGTGTATATAAAGTGTCATGAATCGTTCCCTCATTTTTCTGCTATTGTGAAGCCATAGGGTTTGTAGGGGAGCTGTATACATCCACTAGTAAAAGTTAAACATTTCCTACTGTGCGTATGCAAGTAGTAGGTGGCCATTTTGTGGGGCAGGAGTATTGCTTTGTAATGAGGACTGTCGAGTGAATTTGCCTGGTAGGATTTATTGTCCTGTCGAACAAGTTGTCTAATGTTTCTGCTGATATCTTTCTAAGCAGTGAATTTCTAAAATGTTGATTTAAACACTTCCTCTCTTATTTGTGGATTTTTTTTCAATAGGACGAAAGAGATACCAACACTCGTTCCTCAGCTTGCATTGCAAAGTATAGAACAGTTTCCTGCACAAATCCGGTGGTGCCGCTGATCTACTGTGGTGAGAAACCTGAGTGAAGGCCTAAAGTAAATAAATGTGCGTTGCCTTCTGGGAATTTGAGAACAAGATCACGAAATATCAATCGTTCCTTGATGATCACAACCGCTCATGTATAGACCAGTTCACTAATGAATTCTTATTTATGTGCGCATGCGTATAAATGGCAGGCAGAGGTAACAAGCCTCAGTGACCCATGGCAAATGTACAGGGGCATAAATTTCAACGTCAGTTTCTCTCGGCTTCTGCACCTTTTCACTTTTGTCTTCGGAAACTCTCCAAAATAATTACAGCTAGTTCTTTCTGGTGTAAAAGGATTTTACGCTGCGCTTAATGCGAAAAAAAAAACAGTTTTGCTTTCTCTCCGAGCGCACGAGGTCAAAGAATCAACAGACTCCTTCCCGACTTTTTCCAATTAAACAGTTTGGCACTTCAGGTACTATGCAATACGTTTATTATTTTGTAGTCGGAAAAATTCCTCTCACACCAGAAGGTAATATCTATAATTATTTTAGAGGGTTGCCCGAAGACAAAAGTGAAAAAACTGCAGAAGCTGAGAAAAAATGATATTCAAATTTGTGCACCTTTACTTTTTCAATGAGCCACTCAAGCTTGTTGCCTCCACTTGCAATTAATGCGCATGCGTACATAAATAAGAATAGTGAACTGGTCTATTGATTGTTCAACGGCAATGTATACCTCACGAGTGTATTAGAGGGACAGAACGCAACGAGATAAAAGTTTTAATTACAATGAGACGCTTTCTCCTAGGAAAGTCCTGGTTTGTAGTAATATTTATCGACTCATATCGACTAGTCTGAGCAAGATTCTTTGCCACAAAGGTCTGATTGTTGATGGGCCATTTTGTTTGCCTGTTGCAAAATAAAATTCCGTTTGGATTCAGCTGCATAAAATCACCTGGGTTACTGAGATGGATTCTTCTAGGTCAAATTATTACTTTCTTTTGGGTCATGGTGACATATTTCCGGATCACATCATCTTTTGTCCAGATTGTTTTGACCCGTAAGGGCCGGGGTCCCTTTCACAGGGAAAAGGTTCCAAATGACCCAGACACTTGTCGCAATTTGACCTGGAAAAGGTTCAGGTCCTACAGGACCTGCATCCAGGTCAATCTGTCTGGGGAGGTTTTAGCCGTGAGAAATCATAGCCGCTTGGTGGTTGTAACGTGCAATTCGGCCTTTATCAGCCGCGTTCACATCCTCAGTTTGCAAATTTAACCTCAATGAACCGTTTCACGATTTGCATTCAAAATCTGTTTTGCCCACCCGTGTTGACTTTTCTCAGTGTCCTATTGTAATTAAAACATCTGTCTCGCTGCACGCTGGCACTCTACTCCCCGTGAGGTATGCTTCCTTTCCAGTAGCCAATAAACAACCTAAAGTGTAAGAGGTCCTTTGACTTTGCAGATTGTTGTAACAGGAACCTTTTATTATTAAGAAAAATGGTGAAAAACAATGGATTAAGAACTAAAAATTTCCTTGATAATAAAGCAGAATGTCGTATCAACGATATTCTTATAACGAGGTTCGACTGTACCTGCATGTAGGTGTTTTACGATCGTAACAATGTGTACTCTGCAACAGAGTGCACAATTGATCAAATATAGTCCAGTCGTCGCTTCTGCAACCCTTAAACAGGAGATGAGCCGGCTATTGTTAACTGAAAACTACATCAACCAATGTCACACACACATTTTGAGGAACGGTCGCACATCGTTGGTTATCAAAAACCCTGTTTGCGATAAGTACAGAGGTAACCTTTGCTATGAAAAGAATTGTTAGTACGAGATGAAAGAGACCACACGCAAAAAAAAAACGGCCTTTGGCTAAATTTGAGCGACAATGGGTTTTGCAAAAATGAGGTCAACTAAATGCGTTTGTACGCGAATTGGTCGTTGGTGAAGTTAGGTGAAACTTAATGTCTAAAAGGTATAATGTGGTACGTAGAATGTTATCAAACAACTGACTGTACGTCTGTGTCCAATTTTTTTTCAAAGTCATGTATATTTACAAGTTCATGCCGTGTTTCCAAACAGGCACCGACAGAACAACCAGGAACTGATCCCATGAACTCTGCGTCATCTTTATCTGGTAAGCTGACCTCTACTATTGCGTGTTCACGTCATTTAAACTTCAATTGTGACGAACACTGACTTCTTTTGAAATCAAAGAAAAAGCTCATGAGTGGCAGTACTTCGGAACTGATTCTGTATCTGTCACTTTAGAATTACATTACATCTCTGGCTCTGCTTTGTTTTATTCAGAGCGTAGTTTTCTGACAAGAAATCAACCATGGCTTCCGACGCCTTCGTTACTGCTATGCGTTATTGTTTGAGCATCTGCGGTGCCGTGGCCTTGGTCGAGAATCTCCTGGTGATGGCAGTGTTCGCTGGAACGAAAAAGCTTCGCGTCAAGTACTACACATTTATCTTCAACCTTGCCTTGAGTGACTTTGCTTTTGGTCTGTTCATTATACTCGTCACATGGATCGATTCGCCCGTTCTTCAGGGCCTTCTCACGGCCAGCTACTATGTGTCAATACTGACCATTCTGGCCGCTGCGGTCAATCGTTACCTGGCCCTGTCTATTATGCCCGCTGCTCGCTACGACTCGCTGGTGACTGCATGTCGCCTGGTCGGAGCATGTTTGGTTATTTGGTGCTTATGCCTTACATATGGGCAACTGTTGTACAACGTGTTCACAACTGGAGTTTCCAGAGCGTTAGAGGTATATGGGTATTCAGTGGCTGTACTCGTAGTCTGGGTTGTCACCGCACTAACCTACTTCCTGGCTTTTCGTAAGGTCAAACACCTCAGTCCTGCTCTTTTGTCCCCTGCCGGCTTTGGTGCCGACATTAGGCAGACTCGCCGGTTATTAGTCGTATTCATTCTCATTCTCGTCACGGCGTTCATATCATGGATGCCTTATGCTGTTCTTTCGTTAATCGCGTATTACAATCCGTCCCTGCTTGATAAGCCGGCCTTTTCAGAGTCTTTTGAGGTCGCTGTCTTAATTTATGCCTTCTCTACCGTGGCAAATCCACTCATATACTGGTGGCGACTGGATAGTTTCAGGGCGGGATTCTATACAATGTTCTGTCGCTGTTTCATGAAAGCAGAGTCCAGACAGACGGAGGTCGACCCGTCTGCGAACCGCGAAAATCCAGTTGTTGAAACAGATTTCTAAATGTTTGTGTTTTACCACACGACTCGAGCGTCAAGGTTGTAATCAAAATAGTTTCGAAACCTTTATAGAAGTGGATGGCTGTTGAGCAATTGATTTGTTTGAAATGGATATATGAATACATGTAATTTATTACCAAAATGCAATAAGTGCCATTTTGGTATCTTTCAGAATCCTACACCCTCAGTTGCCTGCAGTCACTTTCTACAGATTTAAGATAGCTAAACATAACTTGAATGAGTCAAGATAGTGAAAAAAAAGTTTAAGGACACATGGTACACTGCAGAGCTCTTCAATTTTTCATAATTGTGGAAAAATTGCATATTTTTCGAATGGATATATCTCATTTTGGAAATAAACCTGTCCATATTTTAAAGACAAATTTCATTGACTATATGAGTGTATGACTGTGTGATTATTTGTTGTTGTACATACACGTATTTTTGAAAAAACTATCCCCTTTTTTCTAGCAGTTGCAGTGAGGAAATAATCTGGACAAAAGGTATGCAAACATTACAGGTGTAAGAGTAGCTCTTCAAAAGGAAGCCCAATAGAGTGATCCCAATACGACGCTTTTAGCCTCGATCTGCGCACGTCAGCATTTGAAAACGAGGCTGTATGTGTCAGCTTCAATTCTTAATACGATCAGACGATTGAAAGTAAGGAGTCAAGACACAAAATACATAAAGGTATGTTAAATTCGGACTTTTCAGGCTGCACATTTTTGTGGAAGAGTCCTTTAGGATGACTCGACACGTAAAATCCAAAGAAAAATAACGACAATTGACCGCGAACTATGGTCGTGTATCTTTGTGCAGTGGGTGTGGTTTAAACTGAAGTGGCGTCACACTTACAAACCGGATACTGCAGGTACTGAGTGGACTCCGCGGGCGCACGCGAGGAAGTTGGACAGAGAACCTCGGTTTCGATGCAGATATAAGCAGACGGCGCTAACGTGAAATCCCTCTGTTGATTATCCGGACAATAATTCACCAGCAAAAACGGAGGGGGGGGTTGGCAAATGCTGTGTGTTCACGTGATTGCGTCACATCATGTTATACTTCGCTTTCAGTAATACGTATCACAATGTTATAAACAAATATGTTCCAAAGCAAGCGTTTGATATTGAAAAATACTTGGCAGAGCTATTATTCCACATGAAAACTGCTTGCAATTATTTGTCCAATAATCACACCTGAAACATTATTTGTGTTTTTGTTTAAAGTTCTGTATTCTTTCCTAATCAATGTAGTTTGTTGTAATGTAGCAGTAATTTTGCTAATGACTGCATTATTGGTGCCTGATATGAAAATAAACTTTTGCTGCTAAGTCCAAGTGGTTATAGTTCTCGGTTCTATTATTGAATGAAAGTTTCAAATACATGGCGACAAAAATGAAGCTTCTCATTATCTACAATGTGGATTAAAATTGCAGAACGCTTCACCAAAGAGACGTTTTGAGCGATATGTCTAACCTTTGTCAGCGTTTTACAAATCCCACAACATTTCTTCAGATTTGTTTGCCTACATGTATCAAGAACGGAAGTTGGTTGGTGGAGTTTCACGTTAGAACCGTGCTTATTAATGTACATGCATGCTTTCTCACCTTTCAATGGACAAACACGGACACCGTACAACCATTATGATAATCGTTAGATGGGATCCTTTCATGGTCCTGTCGAGAAAATAAGTCTCATACTTGCGGGAACTCTATTAGTATTATTGGTTGAACGTATGTGCTTACACGTTCGAATGTAACTCATTCCTTTCTTCAAAGTTCAGTAAGAAAGTTGGTTGTAAATAAAACACACAACACCGTCTCTGCTACATATGACACTTGTTCATTTTCAAATTATTTAACCGATTTCAAGAAACAGAGTTTTAGAGATTTATTGCACACAAAACTAGAGACCAAAGAACGTTCACAAACGCAAGATTTTTTGAGGTGACTGTTCATATCCTGATCGCCTAATTCATGATGTGATGTGAAAGATGGAATTCCCACTTATTGGGTGAAGCCAAATTGGACTTCAATCACACAGAGCTCTACCTTGTAACCAAAGCAAAGTATAGTACCGACTGTTCGCTCGTCATCCCAGCGCCCTCGCTGGACCGGCTTAACTGTGTCAGGCTACGTTGTGCACGACCTGTGATCGCGAGGTTATCACTTCCTGCTAGCGAAGCGTTATTTGAATATTTTGGTTCGCCCATAGCAATGCTGTGACACGGGCAAAGTGCCGGCTATACGATAAAAACCATGGCCTTGGTACAATCACACCGTGGTAACTTATCTTCTCACTACATATCACTGATCACGTGTCCTTTGGTGATATAATTAATTTCAAATCATCATGGTTGTCTTGATCAATATGGGATGAACGAATAAAGTGTAGTGAAAATATTTTCAGTAATGAAGGAGAAAAAAATATTGAGCTGATAATCGCCGTTTGTGTGAAGCATTGAGCGAGGAGTGAGCTCGCGCGCCTTGCAGAAATCTATCCACAATGCTGTGCGCGTCGTTAGCTGTGACACAGCGTGACGTGTTCCTTCGCTAAAATCTGTGCAAAGCCATCAGCTCTTCCGTGACGAGCGAGTACTGTACTTGGTAAAGACAAAACAACACAACATGTGAGTTGACTCAGTGACTGTACAAATTTAAGGGATTGGCATGTATAAAATGGAAAGGTTGAAATCCGATGCATTAAAGCAGCGTTGCCTATTGGTGAGCCAAAGCAATGCTGTAAAACAAATTGCTGTGATGATGTCATCGAGAAGTGTCGGAATAAGCGACAATGGGAATACTTTCCATAAACCTGAACCCAAAGATCATTTCTGTTTACAAAATTGGTCGTTTAGAGAATGAATATAAATGCACTCTTCATTCATTACATTCATAATTATGCGTGGATGCAATAGATGGTCACGACGAAACCCCCCCCCTCCCCATCTCTGAGCGGCCCATGTATGATCCCTTGCGTTAAGTGGCTTTTTCGCGTTTGGAGGGTGAATTTGTTTCAAGTATGTGATGGGCTTACCCACCAAAAATTGAATTGAAGGATAAGATCAAGAGAATAATTTAACTTTTGTTTGAGAAGCTCCAGTGATGTCAGCTTGCTCAAAATGCAATGTTATTGACCCCTGAACTTTATTGATTTTCCACTGCACCCATCTTAGGGCTGGGTATGGGGAGGTTCAAGCCACTGACTCGAGGGCAACGTAGGCTGAGTTCGGTCGGCTTGTTTCCGTATGTTCACGAACAGCGCAATCGTTCTTCTTGGGTCGGCCGCTCGAACGCCGGGAACGTACAACCGGTTATCGCTTGTAGTTAGTGACAAGCAACATGCAACTTGACATGGCGGCGGCCATGTAGGCTACGTTATTCGAAAATTAATCTTTTCTATATAAACAGGAACATTCATTTCTGTGTTACGGAAAATAATTAATGTTAAGTTGCAAAACTTCCCATTGTCTATGGCTTTGGAAGCCATCTCTCTACTTTTTGCAGCTGTTCAAGAATCAAAATCTCATGAGTTTTTCTGCGTGTTCCTGTAAAGCCCTGACGAGGGGGTACTGAGTGTGTGATCCTGTTTCGAGAACAGTGTTCTTGAGTCGTGTTCCCGCCGTTCGAGCGCGAGAGCAAGAAACCTGTGTCAAGAACAGGCCGCCCGAACTCGACCATTAAGTAATTGAGGGCGCTATTTATGTTTAATGGGGAGGCGTGTATCAAACGTGTGCGTGAATATACAATACGTGCCTAGTCGAGTCGCCAATGCGGTACCCGTGCAAACTTTATCCTCCGGCTTCACGTCGTCATGGGCATTTATGTTTTTTAACTTGTGAGCAGAATTCCTACTTGTGATCATCATGATCAGTAAAGTGTTCCGTGCCATCATTCTGGGCCCTCCGGGGTCCGGTAAGGGAACCATCTCGTCCAGGATTGTGAGAGATTTTAAGCTGAAGCACTTGTCAAGCGGTGACCTTCTCAGGGCTCAGGTGCGAAATCAAACAGGTGAATCCGTCATTGCTCGCAAAAGGCCCAGTACTGTAGGCCTAATCGTGTTTATCTGTATCGTTAAGTTGGCAAAGCATCCCAGGGAAAACATCACATACACACCAACTTGCAGAGAGGAGGCAATAAGAAGCAGTTACGGTTTTAGAGGTGGGAAGAAAATTCTGGGAGTAATCATGGAGGTAGGAAAACTTGAAGAACCCACACTCCACAGAATCGTATGAATCAGGTAGAGACTGAAGCCCAATGTCTGAAGGGGGGGGTGTAAATTGGGGAGCCTGTTCCTATAATAGAAGGGGGAGCTACTTTTTAACTTTTAAATTCGTCATCATACATGTAGATGACAGTGACATCATGCAAACTGTATGATTAATGCAAAAAGGGCAGGGTTTGAGGGAAATTTTGAGGGGAAACTGTCAGTGCTTTAACACGGCACTGGTGGATTCAAATTTGCATGGTTAGTTTATAAGTAAGAAAGTCACAGTTTCTCACAATTTACAGTCTCCAAAAATAGGGTCAGCACAATAAATAAAGTGTTGCCTTTATTTTTGGGGGGGACTTGCCAGTTTGGCAAGATTAAAATGTCAAAAAAAATGGGTGGAGGGGTCCCCAAGTATACAATCCCCGAATGTGGACCGAGCCAGGATTCAAGCCTGGACCGCAGGAAGGTGGAAGGCAAGGAAAGAACCACTACGTCAACCTGACTCCCCCTGTAGGCTGTGCTAAGCCTGAGGTGGTAATATTAAAGGGACATCACACGCTGCAACTTTTATCACAAATGTCTTTGAAAATATCATGACCTCGCAAATCTCTGCAAATATTTACAAAAATATTTGCACAGATATCAGGGGTGAGATTTCTCAGCTTTTCAGCTGATTTCAGCTTTTTTGGTGTGGGATTTCAGCTTTATTTCCTCACTAGAGATAAATATAGGAGATTTTCATAGTTCAGCTTCTTTATGCCTTCAGCTGTTTTCAGCCTATTTTCATCATTGGTCATCTCATCCTGGTAATTGCGATAAAATTCGCATCATCATAACAATTTCTGCAACATTATTTACAACGCTATTTGCGATGTGTAATGTCGCTTCAGGGCCATACGATATCCCGTGACGTTGCCAGGATTTTTCCGCTGAGGGAAGGGGGGGCAACAGGGCAAAACACTCAGCAGCGGTAACTTGAGAAAGTATTAATTAACCATGTTAACAACAGAAGGAGGTCTGTGTAAGTTGGTCAGTTGAGCTGAGGATTTTTTCTCCCTAGTCCTCCTGTCTTTTCATTTTGAATTCCATTTTCATATTTTTCAATATACAGATGCGATCTCATTTTTGCCTGCAGTAACCTATTAGCCATCCGAAAGCAATACAGTGTCCTACAAATTCAAATTTAACAGTGAAAATATTGAGATATTCGTGAAGAAAACACTTAGACGAATCTCATGAGGGTGTTTTGCATGGTGTGTCAAGCAGTGTCCCTACATGTTTATGGGATTCTTCCTGGTCTGTTTTAATACGGCAAAATCTACACCCTTTACATGTATGTTAACTGTGACCGGGTATTCATGCAATGCCATAACTGCTTTGTTTCTCCTGTTGTGTTTAGCTGCTGGTTTAAAGGCTAAAGACTTCATGGAGCAAGGAGCTTTGGTGCCGGACCAGTTAATGGTGGACCTTATATTGAGTGAACTGAAAGGACTCTCCTCAGCAGACTGGCTCCTTGATGGTATGTGGATTGTGTAATTTAGGCTGGTTCATTCTACAGGTGAATGCAAAAGCAAAGTGAATTTTACGCTGCAAAACATTTGTGGCGAATATGCTTGAGTTGAACTACGCTTGACTTCAAATTCGCAGCAGGAGTGTTTCTTAATGCAAAAATTTTTACGTCTTGTATGAACTGGACTTTGTGGGCGTTCAAAAGGAGAGATTTCTCTTGTCGCATTGCATTTGTAGTTTTGCCCTTTCAATTTTTGGCAAGCTGTGCCAAGCCCTCTGTACAGAGGTCTGACATAACCTTCGGTGTTGGGAAAGGTCAGTGCTCAGAATGTCCTGTCTTCAGCGATCCTGGCAGTTTACCCCTTGCTGGGGCTGCACCATCACTAAATCTATCCTGATCTTGGGGCAAGATCCTTGGCTACATGGTGTCATGGCATCTGACTGTTACAACCCTTGAAGAAATATATTGACAAATGGGAGGAACCACCAACACAGGACTGGGTAGCTCAGTTGGTAGAGCACCGGTACGCTGTTCCGGAGGTCACTGGCTCAAATCCCACTGTAGTCTTTATCATTTCTGTGCAAGCATCTACATGTAGTCAGTTTTCTTGTACGCTTTGTTTCATGATAGTCCATAAAATTCCAGCAGACGTAATGGCCGAGTTTGGGCGGCATGTTCCCGTCTGAACCAATAGGATTCGGAGGCTGGCTTGTTGGCTCGACTTGCATCAGAAAGTTGGTATTTTCCCTGAGCGGGACCAAGAGAGGGCCCAATTTTCCTTTGGTGGGAACGGCACTTTGCTAGTTCACGAATGACTAGGAAATGCACGCGTTACTGTTGTGTCACTACCAACAGAATGACTATGCCCCACCAACATGGCTCTTTTCAACCAATGAGGGCTGCTTCTGCTCAAGGCCAATTACGGTTGGCTTGTGATTTTGTTTTTTGGCAACAGTCTTTGACTTTTTTAAGGATCCATGTGATGAAATTTTCTTAGAATGGCTTTTTCTGCATATTTAATCTCTTCTTCAATGCATGAAAACTGAAATAATTTTGGAGTTAAGTGAACTGTGTTGTGCACTATTTTAAATATTCAAATTAGATTGAGCATTTCCAGACAAGAGGGCAGTATTAATTGTGTGAATAAATCCAGGAGGACACTGTTCAGTTTGCATGATTTCATGTTCATATTTTGAGCCCTATATTTACCCTTTGAAAACATTTCTGAGAACAGGATGCCGGCTGGCTTCTTGTCATACAGCATCAATAAATTACCAAAGGAAATGGAAATCTTTGGTAGCAAAGTTATAAAAAAAAATCGAGCAATTTTTTGTGCACAAATCGATGCAACTTGCAGGTTCAGTGCCATGCTGCAGATTACATTGTAGTTTTGCTCATGAATATGCAAATTTTTATTAGCATAAAAACAAAAGGACCCCCAATACAGATTATTATAGCAAAATAAAAATTGGAAAAATATGTTAAATTAATTTAAAGCACAAAGGTGCATTTTCCGGGTTTTGGGGTAAATATTTCTACATGTATTACATGGGGCCTTTAAGGTTTAACTTGAATTTCTGCCCCAGGCTTTCCGCGGACAGTCGAGCAGGCCAAGGCCTTAGCCGACAGCATCGCACTGGACACGGTCATCAACCTGGATGTGCCGTTTGATGTCATCGTCAGTCGGCTGGAGGGACGATGGGTGCACGCCCCCAGCGGCAGGGTTTATAACTTGGAGTGGAACCCACCAAAGGAAGCGGTAAGGTTTTGAGTTGCCAGATCTCAGTAAAAGGGGTTGGCATTTAGCCACCTCCTTCCAACAATATTGAGGCCAGAAGTCTTTTCCTAGTATGGCTCGAGTTGAATTTAAATCATCAAAGTTTCAACTCAAAAGGACACATTTCCGTGTCCTGAATTTGAATCCCAGAGCCCTGCACTGTCTCCTGGCAACGTTCATTCAAGGTTTTACACGTACCTAGGAGGACTCGAGCCACAACCACCACAGGTGAAAGGCTTATAAAAAAAGTCCCACCCTACCAGCACTCTAGAGTTTGCAAATTTCCAAGGAGATTGGGGAGAACTGATGTGTTTATAAATAGGCCATTTTGTCGAGCTGAATTGCCAACTCTTGAGTCACAGTTTGTTCTTAACCCCTTCGCGCCGGGACGCGGATAGAGCCGCCGTAAAAATTGAGATCCTCAGCCCGCTTATCAGCTATTATTCTCGGCCCACGCTCGAGCGAACACGGTGAAAGAAGGCTGACCCTGGCTCTTGTATATATGGTTATTGGTCTTTGTGCGTAGCCCAGAAATGAAAAGACAGAATTTGCATCATAATCACCAGCTTCACAATAGTCTCCACTTTGAAAAGAGGCAACAGGAATGTGGAAACTTGAGTAGAGCCGCATGCCACCGAACAATCAGCCTTTTCACCGTGTAATTCAAAGCGTGCAGAGCACGCAGGGCCACAGACCGAGAATCTGCGGTTTGGCAGGTGGCCTTCGTGGCCAAGCGAGGCTGGAATTCTTGGAGCCGGCTTTCGGGAAGAAATTCCCGTCGTCAAGGGGTTAAGAGACTTAACAGGGAGAAAAATGACTTGTGACTTAAATTGGGAGAACGTGACATGAGACTTGACAATTTGCCTTGTTGACACTGTCAACGTTTTCTGAAATAAGTACAAGAAAAATGCATCTTTTGTATATATGTATATGTATTACTTTCTATATCGTTAGTCTGTTTGTTACCCAAGTGTCAGCATATTATGGTGGGGAAGAAAAGTTGGCAAAAGGATCAAGGGGTCAGACATATTTACAAGACATCACATGTCACATCACCAACAAAGGATACAGGCGGCATGCCTATATTGATGTCAAATGGGCTTCAAAGAAATGACTTGTGACTCAATGTGAGAAAATGAACTTGTGCCTTGACACAGGGTAAAATCGCTTGCTATTTGACTGGGGGCGAGGACAAATTACTCACTTCTTGAGTTGTTTTCCAACTCAAGAAGTGAGTAACTTGCTGTTGTAGTGACTTGTTGGAAAATGACTCGGTTAATGACACAGCCATTCAGATTGTTGAGGGGAAATTTTCTCTGACTCCAGTAGAAAATTCAAAATTTTAACTAAGAACTGATCTAGTTCAGTGTCTTTCATGTTCAAAGTGGCTCCCTGTGACACAGGGTTGCCCCAAAATTCTTCGAGAAATTGAGCCTAAAAGCCTGTATTCCTTTTGCTGGAAAATGATGTTGTATTGAATGGCACGTACACAAAGGTAAAATTACAAAATAAAATGATGACTTCAGACTACAATTTTTTTTAAATTAAATTGTTGTGATCTTTTTGTTTGAAGGAATCTTTTCTTTGTGCATTTACCATCAAATGTCCATGGCTTTGTAGCTTTTTTCACCTCATGATCTGTCATGTCTGTTCAGTATTTTGCAGTAAACGTGGTACTCAGAGAGCACAGAACTCTAACGCTGTCACGTTAATATCTTCAGGGTAAAGACGATCTTACCGGGGAGCCACTCACCCAGAGGGACGATGACAGACCAGAGACGGTGTTGGCACGGCTGAGGGCATACCAAGAGATGACAACACCTGTGACCGACTTTTTCAGGTATGAGAAAAAGGCCACTCAGCCTCCCTTGTGTGGAAAACAAGGATGGATGTGATGTGATTATGCATTGAGAGCTGATTGGATCATTATTGATTTAAAGTGTACAATACACAATTAGTTAAACTGTAAAAAAAGTACTGCCTGTCAAATACAGTAATCCTAAAATTTCTGACTTGAAAATAAGTAAATAACCATTTCAGTCAAGCTATGAAATCTTTGCACCGAGAATTCTGATATCTGAATAAACTGAAATCGTATAGAGTCTGCCAAGCGTCATTGGAAAATGAGGTTCCTGGTAATTATTACATCTGTTGACGGGCATCAGAATCAAGTAATGCATGTAGTTGCGGTTGTATGTGTTGTATTTAGCTTTTTCAGAGCAGTGTGAACGTGAAACAAGTACATTGGAACGCCGCTATAATGAACAGGACGGGGTCCATGCTAAATGTTCTGTACAGCTGTCGTTCAGTATAGCGAATTTAACTGCCTAACGTTTCGTTGCCATGTTGAATAGCGCCCTCTCTTGTCTAACCGAAGTGCACCCTCTTGTGATACCTTGGTTCACTGTTTTCGTGATGTTTTGCCGTTGCATTCAAGTTTAAGGTTTCTAGAAATGTATCTGTTTTTTATTTAAACTTGAGTCAAAAAATTGATATCAAGTTTATCCTAAAAGTCGTGAAACTACTGCTCAGGATCGATCTCTGATGCATGCTGTGGCGAATCTCGGTTGATTTGTATATCAGCGGCGCCCTCTTTAGACTATTGTTAGTGCAATGCCACGGTGGACATACGTGCGGTTTTCTTCTGCACCCGATCATGCGGAGTCGCAAAACCAGTGTTTTTCAATACCGTTGACAACTAGTGGCTTTCCCTTCTAATCCTTGGGGAAATAATGGCCACTTGTCACTTTCCAACATAAAGAAACACCGATTGTTTTATCATGTTGATATTTGGGAATTACAAACGGCAACTGAATAGTTTTCGGTAGGTTCTGTGCACAAATTATTGGGAGCCAAGGATGATGTTCGGTTCAGCCGAATGTTCAGTACAGCCGAATGTTCGGTATAGTGGTGTTCGGTATAGCAGCGTTTCACTGTAATGGAATTATAGCTGCAAAGCCCAAATTGGCCAATTCTTTTAAATGACTGTAAAACGTCAGTAGTGTGCACTAACTTCACTAATGAAGTGGGTTTGGAAAATGTTGCCATTTGTGGAAATTTAGGACGTTTAAGATAGTGGACCAGAATATCTTTCAAAAAGTCCTTATCTTTGGGGTCTGGGAACCAAATTGAATTATTATCATCCTGCCTACAACTTTCTTCACCTTTATTTTGGATTGGTCTTTAAACAAACATTAGCAAAGAGCTGTTTTTCCCCATTTCAGGGAAATGAATAAGTTGGAGGAGTTTACCGGAACGGAATCCGACAAGATCTGGCCGCATGTTCACAAGTTTCTCTCGTCAAAGTTGCCGCCCAAAGGCTGATCTTCTTTCAGGTTGTTTGCTTGTTCTTCCTCAAGATGATCAAGGTCCCAAAAGAATAGGTAATTCCAATTTTCAGCTATCAAAAAATGTATATGTACATACAATTTGCGGCACTCTATTAGAAAAGCCGGAAACTTTTAAAAAAAATGATGCATCTGTACCAAAAAAGTGTTTAATATTAACCAATTCGGGCAATTTGCAGTGCCATGCACGGACAACAGGTTGCCATGGAGAGGCCATTTTTGCAGTGCATCGTGGGAAATGATTGAAAGAATCCATTTGCGAACCGTGTGTCAGGAAACTTGAATTATTCTTGTGGTCTTTTTGCCCTGGCATTAGATTCTTAAGTGTATTTTGAAAATCTGTTGTCCTAATCCTTTCTTATTTCCCTTTGAGCCTACCCCCCCCCGGCCCTTTTTGCTAGGGACCCTCCTTAGTCCACCAGAATCCTCCAATTTGGGGAAGGGTGAAAAATCGGATTCTTCCTCAAGCGTCCGAAATCCTCCAAATTTCTTGATAATGTACTTGGAGGTGTGCCTACTGCCTCTATCCTTCAAAATCCTCCGGCAATTCCTGTCATTATGTTGAGGCAGTGTGAATGGCATTCTTGAGCAGTGCGGTTGATTCAAAAGAAGTACGGGGCTGAAGTTATGCATGACTAAGCAAAAACAACACAAGGTCTAACCCACAACCTTTATGCATGGCATCCTTGGCAATCAGCCATGCACTTTTGCCATTCACCCTCAATCCTCCGAAATCCTCCAAAACCATCCAAAGGATTTTGGAGGATTGAAGAGGGTTAGGTTAATGGAATTCCCCAATCTATCAAAGATTTCCTCCAGTTATCCACCAACATACATGCATGCCCAAATGTAAATTAGGGCACGGTGGCCTTGTTTGTATCGACCGTAGCTTGAAAAATTGCCTCTCTGGGGCCTCTTGGTGGTGCACTTTATCGTGATTTTGCCCGCATTGTATTCGGTAATTTTGTTAAAATGAATTTGTCAACAATTGTCACTTGAAAGAGTACTATTTTTTATGTAAAAATGATTAAATGTTTATGAGGCCAAGTTACAAAGAATCATGCGTTGAGAAACCAAGCCGGCCAACCAAGTTCTAGTCAACAAAAGGTGTATTTATGAAGTAGTTCGTTGCCATTGGCTGTTCTGCTCATGGCGGATACCATTGGGTGCTCTACAAAGTTATGTATCATCTGTAGACTTGGTGGGCGCAGTACATCACTTCGTGGTGCTGCCAACGATACTAAGACCCCACCACACCTGCCGTTTATCGTTTTTGTGTCTTGACATGTCTAGTATCAGAGAACTTGCATAATGGGTTTGAGGATTTACGTACCTCCCCCGCAACTTGGAAGAGTATTTGTCGTGTGACGGTGTGACCATATCTCTGGATGGCGCGGTGGGCAACTACTATCATCCAATTACTTGATTTCAATTCTACTCATGCATGTAGTGTTTGTCACAGTAGTCAGAGATCAAAGAGATGTACTTTCTGGCAGCCTGCCACACAGTCACAGTGATTTCAAATGTGGAAAAAAAAATTGTGTGTTCATCCTACTGATTTGTTTGAACTTTGAACTTAAAGGCAAGCTGTTTCTGACTTGAAGTCCTATCCAGCTTCCTGTTTGTCTTTATCTACACTTTTTTAATAAAGTCCCTCTGAAGCTCAACGCAGAAAAGCTAGTTATTTCATTATTCATGTACTAATGTTTAAGCATTAGAAGCATTAGCATATTATGATGGGAAATGTCCAGGTGCCTTGAAGCAAAGCAGAATGTCATAGGTCAAATTCATAAGTACATGTACTCTACCATGCCAATTATGATACCAGGTAGATGTGATTCAAACAAATGGTAACTCGTGACATTGATGGGGAAAAGAAAAAAATGCAAGGAAAAGACCCCTTCAAGAGGTAACACTGTTTCACGTAAAATCATTTGTGCTTATTGTTGGAAACATGTTGAACCAAACTGAGCATTAGCCCCAAAGACCAAAGTCCACTGGATTTTTTGCCTTCACGTGAAGAAGATGCAACTTAGGGGTCTGCTGTTTATGGTACATCTATGCCCGTTGCAAAGTATATGCAAACCCATAAAAGAAATGGAATCATGATCATCAAGATTAAGTTATGATTATGATTAAGTCTCTGCAGTTTTGTGAAGCCAACCACGATGAATAAAAAATCATGATGATTCTATCACTACTGCTTGTCCATTCCTTGCCTTTTGAGGACATTTGTCCCTCGAGCCTGCGATGTAATATTTTGTGTGCTGGGAAAACAAAACATCAATTATTTGTATAGAAATGGCTTAGCCATCTGCAGAAAAGTTCCAGTGCAAGTTTTAGGCATTCAGAGTGTACATGTAGCCTGGTCTTTAAAATGATCTTGTGAATATCCGTCTCAGAAAACCATAGCAGGCATTATCTATGCCATGCGCATGCAAGGGACAAATAAATAACGAAACCCTTTGAGGCGCAACGTGTAACTTTGTTCATTTATTTTTATTATTACCTCCAATGTATACCAGGCAAGATATGGGACGGAGGGGTACCCCCCTTACCTGTCCAATCCTTATACACACTCTAGACTATTGTTACCTAACACCCCCCCCTAGAAGTCTGTAAAGAATTCCTCAGATTCCGATCAAACAATGACCAACTCAAAGGTGGGGGGGTTCTTCCGTCCCATTTCTTGCTTCAAATGCTACCATGTATTACATGTGAGACTGTCGACTATTAATGCATTGAAAACTGGAGTATGCACGTACTGACAATTATGGAAACTCAAGCTACCTACAGTAAGCAGTGCTTTAAGGCACGTTTCCAGTGCAAGAGGTAGAGATACACATTTGAATAGATCTTGAGTCTTTAGATAATCCTGAACGTTAAATTTGCGAGAATCACGAAACTGAGAATACAAAGTATGTTTACAAGTTACTAGCATCGTGCAACATCGCGAAGAAGTGGTGAGGAACATTAAATTTGCATAAATGCATCCGAGTAGCAACCAGTGAATGAACAGATACAAAAAATGGTATTTGGATATTTGAATGCGACACTAAGTGTCGCGGAGAGAGAAGTTTTGGATTTAAGGAAACGTAATATAATTTTTATTACTTGAATACATGCAGCATAGCTATATGTACATATTAGGATGACGATCCGCCCCCTTTGTAGCAGGGAGAAATTTCAACATTTTGGAACTTATGCAATGAGATTTCCATATTCATGAGCCAAAGTGTGATGTCATTCAAGGCAGGACAGGAGTGTCTCCTTAGCACCGTGTACGAAAATACTCGTCACACTTTGTCTTCTTAATTAAAGTAGGTGACACTATAAACACGGTTTCCATGTTAAAAAGCTTGTTTAGAAACGAGCGGTGGCCAACTTTTTCTTCCAAGCGGTGCTGGGTGATTTTGAAGGACCAATTTCTTTTTTTTATTTCTTCTTCTGACCAAGACTGCCTTGTATGACATCATCTAAATAGCGCCCTCATGCATATGCTGATGAAAATACTCTCCAAGAAAACTCGGAAACTACCACCTTTTCACTTGTAATGAAAACTTGTATTTAGATTTTGTTTTTATTGTAACGTGTAGAAATATGCATGAAAACAAGTTGAGCTGAAAATCCTCTCCCTTTCTGCAACAGACATGAAATCTTCCAGTACATCTACAATACTGTTATCATGTAAGTGGATGCAGTGTATGCGCTCTCAGAGCCCAAGTGTGCGATGTTCCCGCTTCAACGCCCCTACAGATTTGTCTGCCTCCATTGCAAACTTAAACATGTTCGCTTTGACTCATCTTTCTGAAACGCATTTGGGCAGAGGCATAGACCTCTTCCAACCAGTTACAAGTCTACATACATACCGGTGCACGAAAGCTCACGATCTCTGTCAATTTTAATTTCTGCATTAGCATTGGAAGTCAGTGACTCTTGATAGGCGTGGACAGCATCATTTCTATTTAAACATCACTTTTACAAACAAGTTGAAGAAGGCAGTCATTTTTCTGTGAAACCATTCTTACACTGTACCAACAGAGGTAAATTTTTCCAACACATAATGTACAACAGAAAATTCATTACGTTTATATCTACAAGTTATGTATATGTACACAGCAGGCATTTCAAAATGCCAAAGTAAGCATCTAAATAATTTAGTATTTAAACAATAATTACCCTGAGTAGAACATTCATTTTTTTTCTTCTCTTTTTACACACACCTTGCTTATGCTCAGGATGTGGTCCCACATGTCCTTTTCCATGTGAGAACGTTTAAGATCTGTAGAGCAAGTGGCAGCAAGGAACTGTTTCTCATGTCATTGTGACCTGCTGAGTGGACACGAGTCACGTGTTGCCGGAGCCACGTTTGAGTTCAAGGTCTTTAGAAGGATCTTGTGCACAGCAAAAGCAAAGGGAGCCCTCCACAGGTTTCATCCACATAATCTGTTTCCATCGGAACACCAAACTGAGAGATTTTATCAACACGATGACTTGCATGTATTTGGAAAGAGAATGGCCACTTTCACATCATGATGTTTCAAGATCTTAAATATGCCATCCACTTTCGTGAACGTCCAATGTTGCTGTGACTTTCCTGACAAACACAAAGCTTCTCTGTTCATTTCTCCTCTTCATCCTACTGAACATAAAAAAATCCACATCTCTTTGGGCTTTCATTTTCCCTTTTGAACTCGGAATGTGATTTCCAGACACAGAAGTGTGAAGTAAGGTTCAAATTCTGTGGGGCAAGAGAGGGTGTACTTTTTCCCCCCAGGAAACCACAGTCAACTTCAGACTTGGGCATAGGTTGGGTAAATTTCAAAACGGCCACGGGAAAGGGCGTATCCAGGGGAGAAATGTATTTCACCCCCCTCCCACTGACGCAACTGGTGAGAAAACATTACCTGCGTCTTCTGTGTCAAGACACTCCAAGTCAAATCTACACTTTCTCCAACAGCCCTCTACAAAACTTGCATTATGCACATATTTTTGGTCAAACCAAAATTATTAAAGCTCAGTACACTTTTATCCCACGAGAAAATTTATGAACTAAAAATACCTGTATGTTTACCTAGGTGTTCCATATGAGGTGATATTTATTCATTTTTCAATGAAAACATTCATCCTCTATGATGAACAAAACAAAATCACGGTCATTGTTCCTTTTCTGAGTAAAAACAGTTCATTCAAAATGTCTTTGAAATAATTATTCTGTGACCATGTGAAAGCATACATGAAAATAACTATATGTAAGATTTCAGACTACTTTGGTCCTTAATGACACTCAATCTATGAATTAAATGTTGAGAGAAAGACCAAAATCCTATAAATGAAAAAGAATTCAGGAAAATCCATTTCTCTCCACAAACTGTACACAAAAATATGTCTGATCAGTTAGGGAACAGCCGGCTGCGTAAAAATCATTGCACACTCGGTGAAATTTTGACATTAGAGCAAACTTAAAGAACATTAACTTAAAGTGAAAAAAAAAGAAAGAAATATCGTCTTCGAAATTAGAAGATAGCGAGTGTTAAGGTGATCACAAGATGTTCCCATTCAAAACGGACGTACTGTACGTGTACATGTCGAGGGGGGGCCTCAAAATTGAATGTCATCGAATGGCAGTAGTACTGTACTGCTGCCTAGGCTTCCAACACAAGAGTAACATGAAGTCCTAAAAGCCCTTTCATGTGGCCCCCAGATCTCTCAAAATCCTCAAGGAGAGGTTTCCAGAGGACTGTGTTGGGTTGAGGAAGGCGCACACGTACCCCCGGGCCAGTCGTCTGACAAATGTGGCTCAGTGCCAAAGTTACAAGTTTTAAGTACACACCTGTACGAAGACAATTTGGGCTGTTGGCGGGGGGGAGGGGGCACAGATTAGGATTTCCAAGAATTCAGGAAGACTAAAGGAACATGCCACTAGAATAGGAGTCAATGTGTTTACACGTATGTATGCATGCTTGACTCTGGCCACACAAATCACGGACACTTTCCCAACCTAGCTCAACTCTAGGTCAACAACTGGGTCGGGCTCCACAGTTGGGTAGAATTGCATGATTACATGAAGCTGTATTGTAAAGGTCATAGTTGAAGATGTATGTACATTCACATGTATCTTGTACAGAAATAAAAGTTTAACTTACAGAATCAGAAGAAAATATGTGTAGGTCTATGACTGAAGCCATTTACACAGTTAATCAACGTCACCGTGCGACACTACCAATGACATGTCAACATAGATCAGCTTCCACGCTTTGGGTGCCTCATATTTTCGTGACCTTGATACAAACCTACGACACCCGATTAGGAAATTTTGCATGTGATTCAAAATGTGCACCGATGGTTAAAATACACGTAGAGATACGGTGCAGGCCTAAAAATGGGTAAGAATTCATAGGTAGACAGGAAAAAATTGAAGTAAAAAATCTGGTACCAAAAATGAAGTGGCAGGCATCGCCACCATGTAACAAACAAAAATACGATGTGGAAAAAAATACTAATTTTATTACCGTTGTTCTGGGATTACTTAACCTTAAAAAAAAAGGTCAAAGTTCAGTAATTTATGGTAGGCACAGACAGGATCACAATATCTGCAGCAATGTGGAAGGCACCATACTGAGTTGAATCGACAAAGAACTGCTCGCAAATGAGCAATTTCTATCGAAAATGAGAGGAGGCAAACTTTCAAGACGGATCCCAGAAGGGATTTGAGGATTGTAACATACTCTCATGAATGTGTAATGGGCACCATGTACTAACACGGTTAAGATCACTTGAACATCATTTGCGATGAAATGAACTCGTTAATCCGAGAATTGCTGTAGCATCCAAAATGAGAAAGTTGGTGATTTTTTGAAAGGAATGCTGGAAAGGTAGGTGCAGCGGTACTGGCTTCGATATGATCATTTTGGGTCATTATCTGCAATCATATGAACTTGTCAATTTGAGGATAAGCACCGATAATGAAAAAGGAAATCTTTCAAGATACCGGTAGCTTAGGAAGATTGAAAGGAAGAGTGGTGATTCTGAAAGGGCATGGTAGACACGATTGGTGGGAAAGTATTGAAATTTGTATAAGTAGGTCTACATGAAAATCAAGGAAAGAAAATTAATGTTACTGAGCAGCAATGTAATCAATTTTGCACATCGGTCCTGTAAAAAATTCTCAAAATCGTTACTTTTTTTTTTACAAAAATGTACAATTGTTTTGGCACAACACCTGCTTAAACACTTTCAAGAACGGGCACAGTTCCATCAGAAATGGTCAGATGCCCTTCGCAACCAAAAGAGGGCATGACACTGTTTATCACTGGAGCAGGAATGGATGAGAGTCTTGTATAGGAAGGCACTGTCCGATTACTGCAATGGTCCTGCAGTGGGTGCTGGTTACTTGTGACCAACCCATCGTCAGCAATTCCATGATAAAGAGCCCCTGAGTTGTAGTCGGACTCAGGCAAGTGCACACCGTCCATTCCCGGATCGGAGGGGATGGTGGAGAGCTTCGTGTAACTCGGCACTCGACACTCAGTGCCGTTCTCACTGAAGCCGGAGTCCGTTGAGTCCAGCCGGGGCTGCCCGGGACCGGAATGGGCAGGGCCCTGGGGGTGAGGGGAGCCTGGTGCCGGCAGCTGCACGTAGAGCTTGGCAAACTTGCTGTAGGCACCCACGTCCGAGGTGGGGGAGTCTGGCTCCCTGTCAGAGCAGACACCCGAGGAGCTGGCCGAGTCGGCACTTGCCTTCCGGTGAGCGCCGCCCTTCCCGGGGATGGGCTCTCCCCCGAGGTCCAAGTCATCACGGAGGAGGAGCGGGAAGAACTCTTCCGGTCCGGCCTGTTCACGCAACTGCACGTAGTCGGCTTCACCATCCTCCATAGCCCTCGCAGCTGCTCCGCCAGCATCAGGTCCTCCCCGGGCACTTCCGTTCGGGATGACACCATTCGGAGTTTGATATCCTCGCGGCTCGTCAAAAACTTCTCTCTCCATGGCACCTCCACGGACCTGACGGCTGAGGGCACTTTCAAGCTGGAATAAAAACAACCAGACAAATTCCAAAATTACCAAACAAGACATTTGTGACTTGCAGGCAACCCGACCTCAGTCTGTCTGAGAGGGTACCTGATTCCAACATCCAATGAATAACTGACAGAACTGTGAGTGACTTACACTGAGATGCATGTATCTGCTAGGTCTTACCCTGTCAAGCGCAATGATGGAGATGCGGGGCACCGGCTTCAGCAGCCGGTAGTGCTTGATGCAGCACCAGGTGGCAGCCATGATTCCGAGTACCAACACTACTCCCAAGATGGCAAGGATGACTGTCAGGTAAACTAACGGAGCTGCGAGTGGAAATGACAAGAAAAATGAAGCCTCACTGCTTCAATTGCTCTGTGCCTGAATAATAGAGGGCGCTTTCCGATACCTAGCAATGATTTTCCTCTGCATATGCATTTTGCTAGTTCACAAACACATTTTTAAAAATTCATGAGAAACCTGCCGCAGAAGGCTGCCAGGGTTTTATCAGAGAAGTAACAGGATCTCAACACCTCTTGATCCGCGGTTGTAATGACTACTAATGGCACACGGATGTCAAGACACTGACAACAGCAACAGAAATTCAGTCACTCTTTGGGTCAGTTGGTAAGCAGCACAAAGATGCACAGTTGTGTCATGTTGTGCACTGCACCAACTACCCCTGAGCACAGGAATATCAGGTTGCATGTTTGTGCTGCCCAACAACTGTGCTTCACTGTTTCATGTGCATAACTGTGCAGTAAACCAAATGCAGTGAAGAGGACTGCACAAAAGACTCTGTGTCATTTTGAACTCTTCGGCAATGCTGCCTGCATCTCTTGACGTTAATGTGGAAACTGGGCTTTAGTA